ATTGTGTTATTTTGTGATAATACAAAGGAAGTTACGAAATAGATAAAATTGAACGTGCGAATGTTATAAATTTTAGTTAGTTTTATTTAGGCCAAATGAGCCTAATCAAGTTTACAATTCTTTCCTTAATAAAATTTAACCACGTGTCAGATTCTGCCAGTCTTTTACTTATAGGTGCTTTTAATTTGTATGCAACATAACTATGTACTTTGAATACATTATACATAAGTATACCGTATCATTTTTGCATACTCGTATTCAACTAACAACTATATGTTGGGACAAGGTCATATTTTGGAATTGTTACCCTGGTTTTTCAAAATGACTGAAAAATATATGTTTAATTTTTTAAATATAAACATAGCCATATATCCTAAACAACTTGACAATATTTTTATGGATTTGTAAATCAATCCATATTTACAGTAGCGGATTTTGTTCATAAAAGGACAAATTTGCTGACAACTAAATGTTGGGACAAGTATTTTTCAATAATTAATATCATCATAGGCGGCTTTGCTATAAACGTCACAAATGTCGCAAACTGTTTACTTCAGTATTGACAGCTTGTAAGTGACTCGATACTTTGAGTAGTGAGATTTACTGTAAGTAATTTTAATTTTTTTAATTTTCAATTTTGTTAATTTAATTCAAAGTAATGGTCCGTGGAAAAGCTACAAATCAAAAACTGCGCGAAATTATCATTCGTCAATACAGTACGGGAAAAATAATTCGAAAAATTTCTGATGATTTAAGTATTCCAAAAACCACGGTCTTTAATATAATAAAAAATACTGCGAATCTGCCAATGCAGACGATAGAGGTAAAAGTTCGGGAAGGCGAAAAGTTGTATCTCAGAGAGATTTACGAAATTTAGAAAAAATTTACAAGTCTGCGGGAAGAAGTACTCTTCGCGAAGTAACAGTTTAATGGAATACTGTAACTGGTTTAAATATATCAAGAGAATGTTGCCGAAAATATATCCATAAATGCGGTCTGGGTGTTTTACAAGGTAAACTTTATTTTGTGTGGATAATCAATTACCTTAAGATTATTGATACAAATTCTTATTTAGGCCAAAGAAAAATCGCTACAATTGGGCAAAATCTAAATTATCGTGGACACAAAATGATTGGAATAAGGTAATATTTAGCGATGAGTTTAAATTTGATGTTTGCGTTGGAGATCATCGAAAACGAATAATACGAAATAAAGCAGAAGCCTTTGATAAAGATTGTTTAAAGAGGGTTGTTAAATGTCCTAAGGGGATTATGGTTTGGGGTTGCATGTCAGCAACAGGTTTGGGCAAATTAAATTTTATAGATGGCACTGTTAACGCCCAAAAATATCAACATATACTTGAGACCTTACTTTTGCCTAGTGCTGAAGAATTGTTTCCAAACGAAGACTATATTTTCCAACAAGATGGAGCATCGTGCCATTCAGCAAAATCAGCTAAAAAATGGTTCGGTAATAATAATATAAAAGTTCTATCCCATCCTGCAAGTAGTCCGGACCTCAATGTTGTATAAACTGTGTGGCATAAAATGAAGCAATATTTAAGAAACCACCCTGAACGAACAATTTGTGATTTGCGGACAAAACTGCAGGAAATTTGGGATAATTTTTCTCCTCAAATATGCCAATCTTTGGTAAATACAATGCCATTAGAGTTCAGGCAGTTGTTAAGACGAAAAGTGATGTAACTCCGTATTAAACAAATTTCTTGTGCTGTCCCAATATATAGTTGTCAGCAAATTTGGCTTGATTTTGACAAAATAAGCTATTATCAAAAGTGATTTGTTTGCAAAGTTATAAAAACATAGTAAAATTGTCTAAATCATATTGTAATGTTTGAATTTAGAATAATAAACAAAATAAATTGAGTCGTTTTAACAAATTACTATTTTTATTGCAAAAAAGACCTTGTCCCAACATATAGTTGTTAGGGCTCGTACAGGCATTAAAAAAATATTTTATTATTTTATATCTTGCAGTTCCAAAATCTAACAAAATGTAGTCCAATTGTCTACAAATGATTTTATAATAGCTATACACACCGCTAACTCTAAAATAATTGATTTTTTTATCTATAAATTAATGAGAATAGTAATGTACTTTTAAGTATAGAAATAAAGGGGGCACATTTATATATATATATATATATATATATAAACTGAATCTATGAATGATAGAACTGACATAAAAAACTTGAATCAAGTGTATTTTAGTTTGTTAAATTAATTTGTTTATTTGTTTTCTCCCTGTTTTATATAAGAAAAATCATGTATATTAAGAAGTAATATTTTGGAAACCATAAAAAGAATAGTGTTTTTACAGTTTATTGGCCAATGAAATATAAATTAGGTTTAGTGCGATTTCAGCCGTAGTCAATATACATACGTGGATCGTTTTGGTCTTACGAATAATCATTTAAAAAAAAAAATATGTAGCCATCCTCTGACAAGTTGATATTAGTTTTATTAATTATAGTAAACATTATGCTGTGTGTGTTTGTGAATTTGTTCTATGTAATTTTTGGATTATGTTCGGCACTGTTTTTTTGATTTTGGTGAGTGTTGTAAGATTTTATTTTTAACTTTCAATAGCGGGTAATTAAGTATGAAAAAAAAATAATAATTTTTGTAAATAATTATTGTGTTTATTACATAAATTTTGTCACACTTAGCTACTTAAGGTTTTTTATACATTAACTACTTGACTCTTAATTTTAACTATGTATTCGTGATTTTGTATAAATAATGTGTAAAAAAAAATTAACAGATTTTTGTGATAAGTTAATTTGAAATTGGTATTTTGTTATAGACACTAGCTACACTGATGAAGGCTGTAATGTTGGCCGAAACGTTTGGTTATTTCCTTTAAAAATGAAATAAAAATATGAAAACCCAAATGAAAACTTAATCAGAGTTTTCCCGAACCTAAATCCCAAGAATTAAAAAAAAAAACAGAATATTTAATTACAAGGTTCAAGAATAATAAATTTTCAAAGTATATATATATATATATATATATATATATATATATATATATATATATATATATATATATATATATATATATATATATATATATATATATATATATATATATATATATATATATATATATATATATATATATATATATATATATATATATATATATATATATATATATATATATATGATCGTACAAAAATTCATTTGGTGAGTAATGTGAGTAAAAAACTTGGTGTGGTTAAAACGATTCAATCTAAATATAAGAAAATCGCGTTAGTTACACCATTTATAACTCTAGAACGGCTGGACCGATTTTTATGATCTATGGACACAGATTAACTTATCATGAAAGAAGCTCATGAAAGAAAACGCCTTGCGTGACCATCTTCTGATGCGTGTCAAATACTCGTCAGCGAGTAATGGCAGTAGGTTAGGTAGCCTTTTGTAAAAAATGTATTCCCAATTGAAATAATACTTAATCTGTGGTACAGCTTGTTTGTAGCGATTCATCATACACATGCGCATAAGATATTTAATGGGACCTAACGCATCTCTCTGTTTTATTTAGTTCCTCCGTCTTACTGATAAACATGTGTTAATCTGTGTCAATGATTTGTTTCATTCGTCCCCTGTCAATCATTTCCCGTCAATCAGGGAAAAATGATACAGAAAAGTAATTTTTAAATAAATTAGGTTTGGAAATCATCTTCCGCAATTCATAGCACATGGCTCGCACACTTATAGCTTTTTGTAATACTTGTTGTCGACTGCAAATCGGTGACTGATTAACATTATAGAATAGAAATTGAACGGAAAATAGTGGAAAACAGTATATTCAGATTTAGAAAGATATTGAAATATACAGGGTGTGCCTTAATTACATGCTAATATTTAAGGAGGTGATTCTTGGGCCTTTTTATGTGTGTATGTCCTAAACATCTTAACTTTTCAGATACAGGGTGGTAAAATGTTCAAATGTTAAAAAAAAAATTTTCAAAATATTTCGGATGTTATATTTGATACACGCGTTCCATGCGTCAAAATGGTTAATTTGGTATACAAAAAAAAAATGTTTTATTTCTTAATTTCCTTACAGCCGATGTAGAAATGATTTCCATACAACAGTCACCGCATCAGATTTTCTCAGATATTTGACCCTGAAGTAAAGTGACTTTAATTTTTTAAAAAATTAAAAAATGTTTAGGGATGAATGGAGATTTATAAAATAATTTTTATTTTAATAGAAGTCAGTGATATACTATTTTTTTTTCTCCAAAAATATTCAATGTAAATCCCGTATGGACGGCATTGGTTGAAATAAATAAAATTCTTTGTACACCAAAAAGGTATTTTGATATCTAGAAGACGTGTATCAAGTTTCATACAGGTATCTATAATAAATTCAGAGTTATTATGAAAAAAAGTTTTTTTAGAAAATTTTACAACCCTGTATCTCAGAAATTAAGATGTTTAGGACATACATTCATATGAAGTTTTCTCTTAGAATAGGTCCAAAAATCACCCTCTATGATATTACCATGTCATTAAAACACCCTGTACAGAAAAACTACATGAATAGAAATACCGTATGATCGAATAAAAACGGCGTCAACGATGGCTATGAAATGAAGATCGCTGTCATTTTATATGTAAAATTAAATGGGAAATGTCATCGATCGTCATTTCCAAGCCAACTGGACGCCGTTTTTTTTCGATCATACGGTATAAACAAAAATATAGAGAACAAATGACAACAGCTGTCAAATCAATTGGTCTCAATCATTGCAGATCATTTGGTCAATCTGTCATTTGTACTACAAGATTGGCAAAAAACTCTTACATCACTGTTGGTGGTACGAGGTTCGTCCACCAATCAGCTAGTGTAGCATAAAGTTCGAAATATTTTTTTTATATTTATCTACAGTATAGAGACTTATTTAGACTTGATGAATACTATGTTTAACACTGAGGCTAAGACTAAGTTTGGTATTTTTACAGGAGATTTGTATCAAAGACAGCCCTTACTGCCCAACCCGTCCAAGACCAGCGACCATTGGACGAACTCTCATGGGACCAATAGTTCGGAGTACTACGTGGACGAGGACGATGAAATCATGGAGAAGCCTTCCAGAAGTAATGGAGAGGTGGTGCTGGACATACCCGTTTCCAGAGAGGAACCTAGGTTTCCAAAGGAAACTTGTAAAACGATATTGGGTGGGTATACAAATTTTTAAATTCAAATAAAACAATTAATTAGAAAGTGCTTGTGTAGGGTTTCCAATTTTCGGGATCGGGATCCCGGGATTGACTATCAGAATGAAAAATTTAATATCAAGAAAAACTTAACAAAAATGCAGCTACATATATCAATAAGATAATAAGAAAAGAGCTTTATTAAAATAGACAAAACAAAGTAATATTTATATTTATTAAGTAAAAAATACAATTCTGTTAAAAAAAATAAAAAATAGCAAACACGGAAATATAACTTTTAGATATTGACGTCCTGCTTAGTATAAATAAAATATGATCTTTGAAGACTAAAGTGTATACAGTCGAATCATTTTAGATTGGGCATTTAAATTTTTTGAGATTTTTGGGATCCCGGGATTTAATACCAGGTGCGTCTCAAAAGTGGCTCACCCCCTATAACTTTTTTATTTTTTCAGATAAAACACCGAGATTTGGTATGTTAGTATATGACATAAATTGGGATTGATTGACATACAATTGTTTTCGGTCACTTCCGGTTTCACCGGAAATGACTACAACTTTTGATTTGTAAATAGCACCGTCGGTATTTTTTTACTTTATTCGGTAGAAAATGACAATCTGAATCGAATGACATATCATATGTCAATTTTTAACATAGTCAGTCAAAAACAAATTCCATTTTAAATTTCAATCTAGAGTGCCATGGCTGTATTAAAAACACCAATTTTTAATCAAGGAGCCTTGGAAAAATAGATTTGATAGTCTAATGTTTTTAGTGTCTGGTTCTGGCCGGTTAAAAGATGCCCAAATCTTATTTTTAATCATATCTCAATTTTTTCAAATGGAACGAGGGTGGCTCATTAGCATATTTGGAAAAAGCATTTATTTACGAATAATTTGATACCACACGCTTGGTATTTTGAGTCAAATTGTCGTTATGAACCGCATGATACAATTTCAAACCATATGCCAAAATGTCAAAAGCTGACATATGATATGTCATTCGATTCAGAGTGTCATTTTCTATCGAATAAAGTAAAAAAATACCGAGGGTGCCATTTAAAAGTCAAAAGTTGTAGTCATTTCCGGTGCAACCGGAAGTGACCGAAAACAATTGAATACGTCAATCAATCCCAATTTATGTCATATACTAACATACCAAATATCGTTGTTTTATCTGAAAAAATAAAAAAGTTATAGGGGGTGAGCCACTTTTGAGACGCACCCGGTATAGAGATTTCGGGGACAAACATACACTAGAATCCTGGGATCCCGATTTGGAATTTCGGGATCCCGGTTTAGAAAATTAATATAGACAAACTTTACTGTAGAATACGAGGATATGTAAGATACAGGGTGACCCAGGCTTGGGAAGGAGTTTTATATTAGGTTTTTGATTTTTATTTCATTTTTTCTTCAGAATATGAGAGCAATGCTAACGCACTTTTTGAAAATGTTTTTGTGAACATACAGGGTGATTCAAACACATTTTCTATATAATAAGAATACCTACTATATATTTTTTTAGCTCAGTGGATTTGCCATTTTATTTCCATTCAAAAATTTGTCATATACTATACCGAGTGGTTTTTAAATAGTAAAAATAGTAAAGCCCCTCAAAATTCTGAATTCAAAGAATTTTAATTTTTTTTAATACAGAATCCTGTATAATAGTGTTTTCTTCAAAATTTAGTCGCCAAAACGTGGAATCTTGTTTGATAGATAACTCAAAACTAAATGTTATATTTTTCTCAGCTATTTTAAATGAAACACCCTCTATTTTGTATCATAATCGAACAAAGTTTTGTTTGATCTTTTTCTTTTAATAAGCACTTCCTTTACATATACTCGAAATCGACATTTAATGAGAAAACTGTGTTTTTTTTTAAACGAGGAGAATATAACAGATTTGACTTTTGCTCTTCTTTCATTAGAAGGAATCTATCATTAAAAGTTGCATATCTATCTACAACAAAGTAAAAAGACCTCTTAATTAATAAATTGAAGAATGAATTTTAATGTGACGAATTTATAAATATGATTTATTGCATTGGAGCAGCTTAAAATATTTTTTAACGAGAAGAAATTATCAAATCAAATATATCCAGATTTAAGAGCACCTCAATTATCATTATTCAAAAAGTTGAGTAAAGGTTTGTGATAGTATAGGCAATGTGGATTATACAAAAAATCAAATATAATCCCCATATAATTTTACGTATAAAATGACAGCGATTGTCATTTCCAAGCCATTCTGATGAACCTTTTTTTATCGTATGGTACTTTATAACAAAAACTAGGAATATACAGGTTGTCCCCGGCTGAGCGTGCATTAGAAGTTTCTAGAGAACCACAAAATCTAGGTCGGAGATTTTTTGCACATCATTGTTTTGCAACGAGATCTATCGATTAAAAATATGTTCAATATGGCGGCACTTCCAGAGATACCGGAAGTTGACAGCAACTTTCTTATTTTAAATGGGTGCCCCTATTTTTTATTACATACTTAAATTCTCTGTAAATTTCTATGACTATTGATGTTAAACGCTCTATATCATAACATTAACCGTTTTTGAGAAAAAAAATATTTAAAATTTTTGGACGAAAAAAGGTACCTGAAATTGGTGATTACCACAGAATACTAAATGTTAACCACTGTGACATAAAGAGAAGACATGTGGCTATCTATTACCAAAATTAAATTGTTCAAATGTCATATAATAATGGCGGTAGCTGTCATGGAATTGAGCGATTAAAAAATAATCATAAATCATTTTTTTCAAATGGAAACCCACTTTTTTATTTCACTGATGAAAAGGTTTTTCAATTCGTTACTTTTTAACTATACATGTTCCTATACCTAAAATAAATCTAATAATTTTTAAGTTATTTAAGATTTAATTTGAAAACGTATATTTTTCTTCATTTTATCTAGCTTCCTTTGACATTAAATGTCAAACGGTCAGACAATTTATTTCCATCTGTCAGAAAACGAATCATTTGAATTTCCTATATTATAAATACTGCCTGCTTGAGAGTTTATAAAGTGTATTTATAAAAATACGTCTCGTATTTTCGCTCTTTAGTGATATCTGATAGTTGATATTATTAATAATATTCCGTATGATCGAAAAAAAAAACAGCGCAAAGTCGGCTCGGAAATGATAAATGATGCTGCTTTTTGAACAAAGCGTCACAATATGATATGGCCAGATCTATTGTTTTACATCGCTTGACGTTTAAAGTCATAGGCTACTGGTTAAAATCAAGAAAAATATACACTTTAAAACTAAATCTTAAATAACTTAAAAACGATTTTTTAGGTATAGGAACATGTGTAGTCAAAAAGTAACGAATTGAAAAGTCTTTTCACTAGTGAAATAAAACAAATGGGTTTCCATTTGAAAGAAATGATGAAAAATGACAGCTGCGGCCATTATTAGATGACATTCGAACAATTTAATTTTTGAAATAGATAGCCACATGTTTTCTCTTTATGGCACAGTGGCTGTGGTAATCACTAAGTTTGACGTTTAGGCTATACACATATTTTTGACAGGCAGTTTTTTTCGTTTAAAAATTTTAAATATTTTTTTTCTCAAAAGCGGTCAATGTTAGGTATAGAGTGTTTAACATCAAAATTCATAAAATTTTACAGCGAATTTAAGTATGTAATAAAAAATGGGGGCACCCATTTAAAATAAGAAAGTTGCTGTTAACTTCCGGTATTCCTGGAAGTGCCGCCATATTGAAAATATTTTTAATCGACAGATCTCGATGTGGAACTATGATGTGCAAAAAATATCCGAGCTTGATATTGTAGTTCTCTAGATACTTCTAATGCACGCTCAGCCTGGGACACGCTGTATGCAATTTTTGATACTACATTATTTGTTGTTTAATGAATATTTTAACTGAAAAAAAATTAAAAAGGCAAAAGTGGGACACAATAATTTGCAAAGGTGTACAGCTGGTTCCAATAAAATTGAATACGATTTAAAACATATTTTTATTATTTCGGGCAGTATATTCTATGATACCAGTCCCCCATTTCTCTACGCATGTCATGTTGACGTTCTGAAAAATGTATCTGCCACTTTGTCAAAAGCAAAGTTGTTTTATACAATGTCACAATAACCTTAAAATGTCAAAATACTTGACACGAATATACACTGCCCGAATGTTCGAAAAAAATGTGTAAAGAGTCGTATTCATTTTTTTTGGAACCAGCTGTACGAAAAACTAATTATATCACTTATGTTTCAGCTTTCATAATAATGTGCTTTAACTTCATCCTCACGCTGACGTCTCTGAGTTTGGTACACGAACGGGTTCCAGACAGGGACGTGTACGGGCCCCTTCCCGATGTGTTCCTCGATAATGTACCTGCGTACGACTGGGCGCTCTACGTTTCAGAGTACATAATCATATTTTGTGTAAATTCTTGTATTATAGCCATGGTATTTCATAAGTACAGGTAAGCAACAATATTTATATACAGATTTCTATATTCGAAATCGGAGGTGTAAAGCCCCGTCTGTCTACACTTCGTTTTACTTGCCGGCTTTACTTCTTCAGTCAAAAAATAAAAAAAAACGCACCGTTTTATTTGAACTAAATTAGGGTGTGTTTACATTTGTATTACATCGTCCATCGTTGATTTTATGCAATTAATTGGTTTATTTAAAAAATGACAGCTTATACTCAAATAGGATTTGAATGACGGAACAACGGACGAGGCATTACGGATGCATATAAACTCACCTTTAAGATGGAAGATAGTCAAGACAACTGGCGAGATCATTGTGTTTTATAACATAATAATAATAATAACGCTGAAAAACTGTTATTGAAAGAAGCAAAAATCCCACCACGTGCCCCAGACAGAAGAGCCTTAGCACTAGTGTACCTAGACCGCTTAAAACAAAAGGCAGCCACCATGGGAACAAAAATAAGACGATATCGCGAATCTAACAAACGTAAAGAGCACTTGAGATTATTTGAAAAAGACCAGAAAAAGTTCTATAGGAGACTCAACGAAGAAACAAAAATTTCAAATAATGGACTGCCAGCAAAAGAAGACATGTGCAAATTCTGGAATAGTATGTGGGGACAAGGTGTGAACCATTCCGACGAATACTGGTTAGCAGAGGAGGAAGATAGAAACCAGGAACTGGAACAGATGGCTGATATAAAGATAGAGAAAGAAGATGTTCAAAAAGCTATAGCAACAACGCAAAACTGGAAAACACCTGGGACAGATAAATTACATAACTTTTGGCTAAAACATTTCTCGGCATTGCACGGACATTTAGCAACACATTCTCAACGTTTAATCGACCATCCGGAAGAGCTTCCTAAAGAGATATGTATGGGAAAGACTATTATGATCCCAAAATCAGAAAACACTCAAGACCCAAAAGAATACAGACCTATTACTTGCCTGTCCAACCTATATAAACTCCTCACAAAGATATTATGTAACAAAATAACAATGCATCTGGATACAATAACATAATAGCTATCGAACAGAATGGATGCCGTCGAGGATCAAAAGGCTGTCAAGAACTTCTAGTGATAGACAATGTAGTAGGACGGCAGGTCCAAGATAAACAGAGGCATATGTCAGCTGCCTGGATCGACTATAAGAAAGCATATGACTCTGTTCCTCATTCTTGGCTTAAAAATGTTTTGGAAATTTATAAGATTAATCCAAAAGTTACAGAGTTTCTCAGTCATGCAATGACACTATGGAATACAAAACTAATTGTGGCTGGACCGAAACATACATACGAAACGAGAACCATAAAGATCAACCGAGGTATATTCCAGGGTGACAGCCTGAGTCCGGTCTGGTTTTGTTTGGCCTTAAACCCTTTGAATAAGATACTTTCAAACAGCAACCTAGGCTACAAGATCACCAAGCGAAACAAAGTAGTACTAAATCATCTTATGTACATGGACGATCTTAAGGTATATGCAAACAACACGAGCAGCTTCAAAGTCTGTTGGAATTGGTATCCCGTTTCAGCCATATGGAATTTGGCTCATCTAAATGTGCTACTGTACACTACAAAAAAGGTAAGCTGATAAATCATGACAATGTTACACTAATGGATGGTACAGAGATAGAGACATTAAAAACATCTGCATACAAATATCTTGGAATGTTACAAACGGGGCAGATCAAGGATAAGGAAATGAAGACCAGAATGAAAAATACTTACCTAAACAGAGTGAAAACAGTTTGTAAAACATACTTACCGGGCAGACAGAAGATTGCAGCAGTCAATAGATGTGCAATTCCTGTCCTGGCACACACACATACGGAGTCTTGAAATGGTCCAAAACAGAGCTGCAGGAAATAGACAGAGCTACTAGGAGAACACTATCACAGTTCAGATTGCACCATCAGTCGTCTTCAGAAATCAGGTTGTATCTCCCCAGGATCCATGGAGGGAGAGGACTTATCAATGTTGAAACAGCATGCAACAGACAAAATAACAAACTAGCAACCTATTTTATGCAAAGGGATACTTACCTTCATCGAGCAATATGCGAGATTGACCGAGGCGAGTCTTCCTTGAACCTAGCTTCCCATATCCCAACGGTAGTTCCATCGGTTCAGGAACAGCTGAGGAAACTTCGAGGGAAGGCCCTGCATGGAAGGTATGCCAACGAAAGCCAGGCAGAAGGAATTGATAAAAGTGGATCTGTACAATTCCTTACCTCATAGGAGAAACCGAGGGCTTCATATGTGCAATGTGCAATACAAGATCAAGTGGTTAGCACTAGAGCGTATAGGAGGCATATTTTAAAACAAAACATACCAACTCACAAATGTAGAGTATGTCATAAGATTAGCGAATCCATCCAACACATCAGCTCTGGATGTGAGAGTCTTGCGTCAGTCCACTACACGGAATGACACATAGCAAAGATTATACACCTGGAAATGCTAAAGTACCTAAAAATCAAGAACCCTGAAAAGAAATATTATGAATACAGGCCAGCAGAATTAGAGGAAAACGAACATCATAAAGTATACTGGAATACGCAAATACAGACAGACAGATCAGTAGTTCATAATAAGCCGGACATTGTTTGGAGAGATAAAAACGAAAAGAAAGCCTACTTAATCGACGTAGCTGTACCACTAGATCACAACTTAGTCAAAACTGCAAGGGAAAAAATTTCGAAGTATCAAGACCTGGCTTTCGATATGAGGCAAACCTATCATCTAAAAGCAACCCGAGTAATACCACTCATCATTTCAAGCAATGGTCTGGTTCACATTGATTTTGAGAAGAACTTAAAGGAGCTGAAGCTACCAAAAAATATCATAAGTCAATGTATTAAAGCAGCTATTTTGGGTACGGTGAACATAGTTCGCAGAGTAATGAACATGGAGCCTTGAATGGAAATATTCCGGCGACATGCGACACGTCATGGTACAACCGATAGAATCGTGAAAAAAAATAATAGTTAAAAATGTTAATAAGAAAATATTTTTTCCTCTTGTAAAGACAATCCGAGGACATACTGCATAATATTTACATAATTAGATTTGCGTCTTTACAAATAAAATTTAAACCATAAATATTATATAGTAAAATTGCATGTTTTTTTCAAATTCACTAAAACAATGCTGTAATTAATCAAATCGCAGGTGAAACGTCCTATACATACCGGGTGAGTCTCAAAAGTGGCCCACCCGTATAACTTTTTTGTTTTTTCAGATAAAAATACGATATTTAGTATGTTAGTATATGACATACATATATTAGAGATTAGATTTCTTCTGTGCGGTATTGCCGGATATTGCATCAAAATTTCAAACCGCACAAGTAGGCCTTTACGAAAAATGTTGCATATAAGGTTGGAACTTTATTTTTCACAATTAGTTGTTTATTTTACTACAGCCGTAATAGATTATAATATAATAAAATATTATTTAGCTGAGATATATTATCTGTATTTCAGTAACATAAAAGTGTTTAAAATAGTTAGTTATTTTTTTCTACACACATTTCCTACAAATTTAAAAACCGGCAACACTGTATACCGCTTTTTATTTTGTCTCTCTGTCTATCAACCGGTCATTTTTATTTATCTCTGTCGCATGCATTAAAATACAGACCACGCAGATGAAGTGACCGGGATAGTATACTATACGCTAGCCTTTATTCCGTCTAGTCATAAAATGTTATGTCTAGAGGGAAGGCCGTCTACAGAACTCCCGTCAGTTAGTCCCCTAGACGGTCTTCCATTTTGACTGCAGGCAAAACTGGAAAGTGAAACGTCATGTGTAGACGGGCTTAAGATAATGGTATTGGAAATTATCTCAAAAGCAAATATATTTAAAGGCTATATGGCTAGTCAGGCACAGAAATTGAAGCCAAATTTTTGATATGGAACTATACAAAATCCGCATTAGTCGGTTCTTTTGGTTCAACGGCTTTGAACTACGCAAGCGCTTCGCGATCAGTTTGCGCCTTCACTTATAGATTTAAATTTAATCTCAAAATAAATGGATAGATATATCTATATTTCAAGAATATCTAAAATAACAGGTTGAAATAATGCCATTACGAAAAAAAAACAATATATTATATATTAGAGTTTAAAACAGTGCGCGGTCAGGTAACAGCCGGTGACAGTATTCATCTATGAAGTAGACGAATCAGATCGTTTTATTTGGGGCGTGCGCATAAAAATCGCGTTGAACCAAAAGGATAGACTTATGCAAGATTGATATTCCCATTTCATTTGTTTGGCTTCACTTTCCACTCATTGAGTAAATGGGCTATTAACCATATAGTCTTTAAATATATTTCTTAGAAAGAGACAAAAAGTAGACTGGTACTTGAATGAAAGTTTATTCTTCAAACAATTTTTTACACAACGAGCATGTGTCACTTTTGTAAAAAAATAATCACTCATATTCAAATAGAAAAATGAGCTTGGTAAATATTTTTGTGTAATATTTTTATTTCACACTATAAGAAAACCAAAAAATATTTATGTAAACTAATTATTCTTCTAAATGAATAACAACTTTTTTGTTATCAAAAACTTTGGTTTACTTGTGGTTAAAAATGTGTTCAGATACTGAATTTCAAGGCCAAACATTAATTGCGCTAGGTATTGTAAATTCAATTCTTGCCACAGATTTTTATGACTCTTTAATTTTTCGGAATTTTTTTTTCTGACTAATTGCATTATCTCGGAATTTTACTCAAAGTCGTTGGAATGACTGTTTAAAAAGCACTTTTTTTTTCTATCGCGCGTTTTAAGATTCATTTTTGTATAGATATATTTAATTGCTTTATGTAATAACCAGGAATATCTCCATTGACAATAAAACCATTGTACAGACCGCCGGCTGGCGCTGTTTCCTTATTGTTAATTAGAATACAGAATAGATAATAAATATTGGTGTTATGATGCATAAAAGCAGCATCAGATAAGAATTTC